GCCTTGGAGGGTAAGGTGCAGCGGCCTCCGTGCCCTGACCCGGGACCGGGGGCCGGGGACCGGGGAGAGTCACCTTGGCTGGTGTCCCGGAAGGGGGTGGGGGTGGGGCGGCGAGTGGGACTCTGGAAAACGGGGGTTGGCTTGGGGCAATTAGATGACACCCTGGGGGGAGAGGGGGTAACTTGGGACCACCCATAGGTACAGCCTGGACCCTGTCTGCCGCTCACTCACTCTGACCTTGGGGGCAGGCTCCACACTCCGAGCCTCAGCTTCCTCCCGAGTGTCTGGTCCTGGCCTGGGGGCAGGAGGGGTGGCAGTGGAAATGCTTTGGGCAAAGCGAGGGAAGCTGTAGACCCCAGAGGTGTTGCAGTGTCAGCGGGCACCTGGTGGGGACCGGCCACTCGGGAGGGAGAGGTGGAGGAGGACCCTGGCTGGCCCCGGGGCAGTGAGCCGGGTGGAAAACAGACTCCATGCTCATGAGTTCTAGAAAACTTGTGTTGGCCACTGGTGCCGGGTGCCGTGGAGACTCCGGAGTTGGCAGGACCGAAGTCCTGTCTTCAGGAGGCTTCTCACAGTCCCGGCACCCAGTTCCAGGGCGAGGCCTGGGCAGCGGTACCTGGGGAAGCCCAGAGTCCGGCTCACCCAGCCCTTAGGGAGGGCCAGTCAGAAAGGAGAGCTTCCCGGGGTAGGTGGCCTCTCAGGAGACTGGGGAGGAGGAGGAGGGCTGCCAGGCGCAAGGAGTGACATGGTCAGGGGCCAGGTGGCCAGAGCCAGCCTGTCCCTTGTGGGGAACTGTACTCATGAACACCAGGAATGGGAAGGGGCCAAAGAGTCTGAACTTTGTCTGAAGGAGCCATAGAGAGATTTAAAGCACAGAGTGAGGCAGTGGGTTTGTTCTTGGAAAAGCAGTGGTGTCGAAGTGGGGTTAGACCTCGGCCAGGTCAGTGAGGAAAGTGGGCAGTGGTGGGGGGTGGAGGATGAACCATAACCAGCACCTGGCAGGGCAAGTGCCTTGTGGAGGAGGGGGAGATGGGGATCTACATGTCAGTGTTTGGCCCGAAGGCTGGAGGGGAAGGCCGGTGCCTGGGTGGTGATTTGGGACAAAGGAGGCAAAGATGTTGGCTCCTGGAGCCGCGAGCCGCTGCCGCGGAGCTGCAGGCTGAGGAGAGCTGAGTGGGATCGTGGCGGGCAAACCTCTCTCTCTGAAATAGTCTCCAGGTGGTAGCATTGCTGGATTTGCCCGTGACCCTCCCCTCTCCGCTTCCCTCCTGCCTACCGTATTTCCTGTAGTTGTTCACTCCTCTTGCCTGTATTTCTTCATTCATTCATTTGTAAGATTTCTGCAGGGTCTGTCCCAAGCTAACTCTAACCCCCAATGGTTAGGGTCATTTCAGGGTGGCGCGGTTTCCTTCAATGCTTGGGGCTTACCTCTGCTTCCTACTCCCAGCTGTGGCTGGGCCAACCACCTGCAAGTGAGGCAGGAAATAGCCCAGCATCTCTCTTGAGACACTGGGTCTTCCAGCCCCTGGGGAGCCCACTCCCTGCTTAGTGCCTTACTTTCTGCCCAGCCTTGTCTCCGTGTCCTGGTCTGTCTCTGTGTCTCATGCTCCCTCTGGCACTGCCTCTTCCAGCAGCTCCCCCAGCATCAGCCCCTCCCTTGATGCCTGTGGTCTCTGTGGGCTCAGCATCTGGGGCCTATGGACTCTCCCACAAGTGTTTTAGGATCCGCAGTCTGAGACCCTGTGAGGGGCCTCCCCCCCGCCAGTCCTCTGAGGGTCTCCTGGGTGTTCCCTGGGTACTCCATCTCCTGTCAGAGAGGGGAGCTTGTGGACCAGGCTGGGTGCTCTCCAGGGTGCTGCCGTGTGGGCCCAGGGCCAGCCTTTAGTGCACTGCTCTCCCACAGCTGTTCCCTCGCCCTCTCCTTGCACAAACATTGATGGGGTGCCCACATAGTTCAGACACAGCGCTGGGCACTGGGATCACCCCTGCCCTTGAACAGTCACAGGACTGGGGCTGAAGCAGCCTGATGGGTCTGGAGTCAGGTTAACCCAAACCCCGGGTTATCAGGTTTTTGAACTTGTGTGAGCCTCAATTTCCTCATCTGCCAAGCTAAATGATAATTTCTGCCTCTTTGGGCTACACAGACAGGTGCTGGGGTGTGGGCCCACCTCCCTAGACGTGGGGAGTCCCGAAGGGGAGCTCAGTTGAAATCCTTTGACTGCTGGTCTGCTCACCTTGAGTCCACTCTCCACCTCAAACTGGAGTCCATGTAATGGGCCCAGTCCGTGGACACTGGCCGCACCCGTGATGGGTGAGGGGTCTGCCACTTCTGGGGGCCAAGGGTTTTGTAGCCTCTCTTAGCCAAGTACATCTGGGAAAAAACTGGAGACTTCTAGACTTGACCAAGTTGAACACTCAGGGGACCTGTGCTCCTTTTCTGCCACGAGCTAAACATTTATCAGACACCTACCACGTGCCGGACACTTTGCTGCAGGCTGTCCCAGCAGCTGTCTCATTTGATCCTCACATCTCCCCTTGCAGGGGGTTAGTGAGTGTCATCTCTAGTTTATAGAGGAGGAAACAGACTCAGAGCGGCCACGTGTGTTGCCCAAGGACACGTGTTGGTTGCTCACACATGAAACCTCTGTCGGGTTTGCCATAGGGTCCAGTGAAAGTTCTTACACAGTCCCTCGAGGACCAAGCACCTTGGGCGTGGTGAGGCGAATTCGACAGAAACAAATTGTGCTTTGGGCACAACTCGCTCTCCTCTTCAAGCTCCTCAGACGACCTGCCACCTCCAGCACAGAGGGGTTAAGGAGAAACGGAGAGTTTCTTAAGTCCCATGGTTGGGAGTAGAGCCCAGGTCTTCAAGACTTTCCTTAGACCAACAATTAGCTTTATAAATAGAAAGCCAGCCGGAACTTCTTGATCAAATCTTCTCTCTCTGTGGATGTTAACCTTCCCTTCCACTCCAGCCTTAGGAGGGAGGCTGGAAAAGGTGACCCAGAGCTCTGGCCTGGGTTCTGGAAAGACTGGAGGTGACCTGAGATGGGGATGTATCTGGCCTTGAGGGTGGGAGTGGGGGAAGGCAACTGGGGCACAGGAGGGGGGACAGAGTGATTCTGCAAATCTCAGGCCGTAGATTTTTCAGTGCTCACCAATTCTGAATTTTTAATGTTGAAAGTTCCTTGATTATGCATAAACCCACAACTTCCTGATCCAAACCACACATGCATTTAGCAAAGCCTCTTAAAAACTTAAAAATTACCAAACTCTACATTGGATAGTTTTGAACAGTCAAGATTATGCTCGCCAGGTTGTGGCCCTGACAGCTCAGAGACTCCGCTGTGAGGCTCTTGGGGGCTGTGGGTGTGCGGGCGATGGGAGATTTGTCGGGGCTTGGAAGCCAACTTGTTTTTCAGTTGTTCCTCTAACATTAGGCGAAGTCATATACATCCGTAAACATAAATAAACTGCACCCCAATAAAGGCCATTGCACTGAAGGAGGGATTGCTGAATTAGACATTTGTTTATGGCTTGAATTGTATCCCCCAAAGAGATATGTTGAAGTCCTCATCCCCAGAACCTCAGAATATGACTTTATTTGGAAATATGGGCCTTGCAGGTATTAGTTAAGATGTGGGCATACAGGGGTAGGGTGGTCTCCTAATCCAATGTGACTGGTGTCCTTATAAGAAGACAGTCACATGAAGACGAAGATCCCGTTGGAGACGGCCATGTGACAATGAAGGCAGAGATGGGAGTGATCCATCTGCGAGCCAAGGAACCCCCGAGATCGCCAGCACACCACCAGAAGCTGGAAGGAGCCACCAGGTTTCAGAGGGAGCACGGCCCTGTTGACACCTTGACTGTGAGCTTCTGGCCTCCAGAACTGAGCGACAATACATTCCTGGTGTTTTAAGCCATCTACTGTGTGGTACTTTGTCACATCAGCCGTGGGAAATGAGTACAATGTTGTCTTGGATTGTCCAGCAGAACCGTCCTGTGTGAGGCAGGCTCCCTCACATGAACTCTCTGTGTCCTCAGGGCGGCGCCCAGAGCAGTTTTCCCAGGAGGGAGTGGGGCTCCTCAGTTCTGGTGATGTCGGAGACACACAGATGCCCCTTTCCCGGAGAGCAGGTGCACCTGCGTCCTTTCCTACAAACTCACTTCAGTTTTAGGCTGACGAAAGACATTGCCATTCAGTGTAGCTAAGTTCCCCTGTGCCCATGGGTGCTCTGTGACATGCAAGGCAGTGGCTTAGCCCTGTTACAGGGACTCCAAAGGCAAGTAGAACACAGCTCTTACCCTAAAGGAGCCCGTGGGCTTATTACCACCACCACCACCACCACCACCACCATCACCACCACCACTACCACCATCACCACCATCACCACCATCACCACCACCACCATCACCAACACCAACATCAACATCAACATCAACATCACCACCACCACCACCATCATCATCATCATCATATCTCTGACCACTGAAGTAGCTTCCATATGAGACATTGTTCTATGTGCCATACATTGAATTCTCATAAAATCCTAAGAGGCAGATACTACTATTACTTCATTTTTAAAGATGAGGAAAATGAAGTAAGTAGAAGCAAAGTAACTTTGCCAAGCTACTCAGTCATCTAGAAAGTGGTAGAGCCTGGATTTGAACCCAGGCGAGGTGGGTTAAGACACCCTGCTCTGATCCTCCATGCACAAAGGGTTACACAGCCAGTGTTAGGGAAGAGGGTGGAGAGGCAGGATACATACAGCCCCGGGGCGACAGGCAGCTGTCCTGCAGGGGGAGCCGCCTGATGACAGGCTGCCCTTGGGGAGACAGAGCAGACACAGAAAGCCCAGCCCTGGGGGGCAGGGGGAGCTTCCCCTCTCATCCAGCCTGGAGCCACCCGCTCTGGACTCCTGGTCACCTGCCAGCGTCAACCTTGCTCATAGGAAGGACTCCAAAATGTTTGTTGGACTTTCAGATGAAGGTGGCAGCCTGAACATGTGCATTAACTCTCTTTCTGAAGCTCGCTCCTACAGCAGTAAAGGAATGTTCAAAAGGCCACAGGCCCACAGGAACCGGAGAGGCCACGATGGCAGTACACTTGGGAGCTGGGGAGCAACGAGAGGGACCTGACTCCACCGGCAGAGGACCCACCCAAGTGACCCAGGGACGGGGGCGCGGTCATCGCGGTGGTTGGAAACAGGCCTGTGGGTCGTTCATTTAGGAGGATTTAGACCCCCAGCCCTGGCAGGAGCTGAGGGTAAGTCTAGGGGGAGAGGGTCTCTAACACCAACACATTAGAGAACCAGCAGTTAAGGTGATGTTTACGTAGCGAATGTGCAGTGCGCCTCCCAGTCGCAGCTCCTGACCAAGCCCCTCTAGAGAGAAAACAGAAAAGCCTTCTCCAGGGACTGACCCACCCGAGAGGAAGAAGCCCAAGGAGGTCAGTGCAGAGCCTGGGGGGTCAGCCCAGCTGGACCAGCTGCTGTGACCCCCTCCTCCCCCCAACACACAGTTACCAAGCCCCTCCCATTGTCTCAGGGACACCGGTGAACTCTCTCGTCCTCCTGCCTTAACCAGGAACGAGTAACCAGGGCTCTAATCAGCAGAAAACAACAAGTTGGAGGACACAGCGACTTTCTACTCCCCCCACCTCCCCAGTAATACCCTCAGACAGCTGAGAGGAAGGGTTGCATCACTAAAATAAGAGCAGGGTGTTTTAAGAGGAATATTCAGAGAACAGCAGCCCTAAGCCAAAAACAAACAAAAAACTTTGGAGATTGAAAATAATCGTAGAAATGAAAAAATTCAACCAAGGGTAGGAAGGTAAAGTTGAAAAAAATCTTCCAGGAAATAGAGCAAAAAGGCAAAGAGATACTGTAAGGGAGAGGGAGAAGGGAGAGCAACAAAACATTGGTCTAGGAGGCCCAGCATTTCTCAAGCCTTTGTAAGGACAACACAAGTGAATTACTAGGAACATGACCCTGCCGGGGGTGTCACGGCATGTTAAACTGCTGCAAAAGTTCTAGATGCTTCTCAGTTTTGGTGCTCATCTCATCATGGAGGACTCACGGTGCCCAGACCAGCACCCATCTGTGGAGGTGCTGCTTCCAGCTATGTTCATTCATACCTTTGGTTTTAAAAAATTGCTTAAAAATAAAAAAGGGAGTTCTCACTACTAGGATGGCTATCATAATAATAAAAAAAGGAAACTAGCAAGTGTTGGCAAGGTGGTGGAGACACTAGGACACCTGTGCATTGCTGATGGGAAAGTAAAATGATGCAGCCTCTGTGAAAACAGGCTGGTGGTTCCTCAAAAAGTTACCCATAAAATTACCATATGACCCAGCAATTCTGCTCCTAAGTGTTTACCCAAAAGAACTGAAAACAGGGACTCAAGCAGATACTTGTATGTCAATGTTTATTGCAGCATTATTCATAATAGACAAAAAGTGGAAACAACCCAAGTGTCAATCATGAAATGAATGGATAAACAAAGTGTATATATTCATACAATAGACTATTATTCAGCCATAAGAAAGAACGAAATTCTGATACAACATGGATGCTACAACATGGATGAATCTTGAAATCATTATGCAGTATTAAATGAAATAAGTCAGACACAAAAGAACAAATATTGTATGTTTCTACTTAAATGAAATATCAAGAAGAGTCAACTTCAGAGATGGAAAGTAGGTTTGAGGTTACCAGGCTCTGGGGGAGGTGGGAATGGGGAGTTAATGCTTAATTGGTACAGAGTTTCTGTTTGTGGTGATGGAAAACTTTTGCAAATGGACAGTGGGGATGGTTGCACACTATTGGCTATGCAATTAATGCCACTAATTGTACACTTAAAAATGGTTAAAATGGCATTTTTATGTTATGTATGTTTTATCACAATAAGTAAACTTTAAAAGACCCTATGTTTAAAGTCTAAAATGTTTCTTTCATTAAATAGAAAAGAAAAATTTAAGTGGTAAACACTGAGCCAAACCGGTTTCGGCACAAAATTTTTTTAAAAGGGAGAAGCCAGAGGATCAGGAAAGGTTTTGTCAAGAGGGCGGAAGGCCCTGACCAGTTTGCCTCAGTGGATAGAGCGTCGGCCTGTGGACTGAAGGGTCCCGGGTTCGATTCCGGTCAAGGGCATGTACCTTGGTTGCAGGCACATACCCAGTAGGGAGTGTGCAGGAGGCAGCTGATCGATGTTTCTAACTATCCCTCTCCCTTCTTCTCTGTAAAAAAATCAATAAAATATATATATTTGGCGGAAGGTGTATGCTTGGCCAGTGTGGCTCAGTGGTTGAGCGTCGACCGATAAACCAAGAGGTCTCTGGTTCAATTCCCCCTCAGGGCACATGCCGTGATTGTGGGCTCAATCCCCAGTGGGGGTGAGCAGGAGGCAGCCCCATCCATGTTTCTCTCTCATCGATGTTTCTCTCCCTGGAATCAATAAAAACATATATTTTTTTAAAGAAAAAGAGGGTAGACGTGGGCAGATTTCAAGACCTCGCTTTGCTTTGGGAGCAAAGACCCAGCCGCAGGGCCGGGAGGGTGGGCTGGGTCATTTCAATGAGTCTGTGTGGCTGAGCAGTGACATAGAGAGACAGCAAGAAATTAAATATTAGAAAGCTCTATTGACCTATGAATCAGAAGTCACGGTTCGATTTCCAGTTAGGGCACATGCCCAGGGTGCGGGCTCTATCCCCAGTTGGAGGTGTGCTGGAGGCAGCCAATTGATGATTCTCTGTCATCATTAATGTTTTTCTCTCTTTCTCCCTTCCTCTCTGCAATCAATAAAAATATGTTAAAAAAACACACACAAAAAACTCTTCGGGCCACAGGAGGAGTTCAGGTGCGGAGCTCTGGCGGGAGGGCGATCCCGCAGGGGAACGCGGGAGGCAGGGCTGGGCTCTAGAACAGCCCCTCTCAGGCCTGAGTGAGATCAGAATCCCCAGGAGCGCGTGTGACCGCCCAGACGGCTGGCCCCACCCGAGTTCCCCACTCCTGGGACGTGGGGCTGGCTGCGGCGATTGGTGGTGAGTGGGTGGCCTGGAATTGAACCCATTTTCTTCTCCTCAGACACCACCACCCGTCTCCTGCTTGGAGCCATTGCCGTCCTCCTGTTCGCCATCCTGGTGGTGATGAGCATCCTGGGTGAGCATGGATGTCGGGGCATTTATGCGGTTCCGTGTACCATCTCAGAGGCGTGTCTGAGTAGGTCAACAGAAGTTCCCAGCGTACCACGGATTCTATGGGGGACAAAGTGAATAGCAAACCCAGTGTTACTTCTAGAGGTGATTTTAGCTTTAAATACTCTTTTCACACATCGACTCTACAAGTTCCCTTTACTAAGCGATGCGGGAAAGTGGAGATGCCGTGAGGACTCAGAGCGAACTCCAGGCGGGTTAGGCGGGCAGTGCTTCTTGGAGATGAATTTAGGACAAGGGCCTTTAAAGATCACATTCATTCATTCACGGGACATTCATAGAGCCGGCTGTGTGCTAGGCCCTGGGCAGAGTACTAGGGATTAAAAAAAAAGATGTTTGTTATCTCCCTTGTGCAAATATAGTGGTGTTCCTGCCCGGGGCGGGCGGGAGAGGGCTTCCGGGAGCGGGAAACATGGGTGCCAGACCCCGATGAATGAATGGGGCCTCCCTCCAGGAGGCAGAGGGAACAGAACAGCCCAGGGGGTGGGGCCTGAGCCACAGGAGGGCTGCGTGGGCCTGAGAGGGGAGGGATGGAAGACCAACAGCCCGGTCACTATGGGCAGCCACCAGGGAATTTGGCTGCTTTTAATGGACTCAAGGCAACGTATGTCATGGGGCCCGAAGGGTTTGCAAAGTGATTTGTCTTTAATCTTTGAGGTGCACCATAAAGCCAGAGGTGGGCACTTCCAGGTGGGCAAAAAAAAACCCCACTGATAACACCAGCCCTTGGCAAACCCTTGCCTCCAGGTGTGCATGATAAGCAGGGAGGTGTGTTTAGAGAAGAGCCTGGTGACCGCTGGCAGCAGCTTGGCTCCCCTGGAATAGTTACTACAAATTAAACTGGGGGGTCAGGGAAATGTGTAAAGCAGCACAGTGTGGTTTCAGTGAGGCCTCCTCAGAGATCCTTGTGGGAAGGCAGCAGACATGCAGCCACACCAGAGCCAGTAGTCCCGAGGGGGCCTGCAGTGCACGGAGCAGGTGTGCCGTGTGCGCTGGTTAACCGGTGTCCGAGTGGCTGGGATCCCTGCGGGCGGGAGTGCCATCGGCCTGTCTTGGCTCTGTCCGGTCTACGTTTCATCAGTCACTTGTATGAAAACAAACAAAACATATGCTTATAGAACGTGTAGGTGATACAATCCAAAGAGGGATGTTGAATGTGACAGACGAGAAAAAAAATCAAGATTAATCTGTATCTTTAAAAACTCAGAGGAGCCAACATGAATGAGATAAACGTGGGAGAAATACATGTAAGACCCTTCATTTGGGTTTGAAATTGATTTATACGTGTTCTGGCCACTGGGGAGACCCCACTTGGAGAGAGATCATATGAAAACGATCAGCGCATGGCTTCATTCCTCTTGGCAAGGAGGCCCTTCGAGACTGACGGATGCTCTGGGCTTCCTTCCCAGAACAGTGTGCACGCGTGCACAGGCCCACAGACTCCTCTCTGACGCGGTCTGCAGGCCGGGAGCCCACAGCAGCTGGAAGGCAGTGTGGTGATCGGTGATCGGTGATCGGTGTGGCTGGGGGCGGGCCCATCCGAGCTTCCTGTCTGATGGGAGGCAGCGCTGTGACATGCGGGCACCCTGTGGTGAGCCAGGCAGGATGGAGAAGGGTCTGGAGGAGAGGCCGTGTCTGTTTAAGCCTCGAGAGGGAGGCTGCTGTCCTTCAAGTGGGCGCTCGATGGCGACGGCTTTGCTCTGGGTCACCCAGAGGCAGATCGCGGGCCAGCAGGCCTAGGTCACAGGAGGGCAGGTGGGCACTCAGAACCGGAGAAGCGCTTCCAGCAGTCAGTGGGGAAGGGCTGCCTCGTTAGTTAATGGGGCCTGGCCAGGGCCCACCAAGCCCGCGGGCAGGTGCCACCCAGGCTGGAGAGAGGACGCGTCTGTGGCCTCCACATCCCTTCTGAATCGGAGTGTCTGCGGTCCCATGCCCTGAAGAGGTCAGAGAGAGAGAGGTGGTCTTAACCCAGGAACTAACCTGCCACATCCCCCTGGTGTCCCGCAGACCTCCCAAATTCCTCTTCCTGCTGCCTTTAGCCACCCACCTTCTCCCCGCCAGGTGCTGGGACGTGCTCACCTGAGCCATGTCCGTGCGGGTCGGGTCTGCCCCCAGCCCAGGCCTGATGCCTCGGCCAGAGGAGTTGACCCTCATCACCCTCCGATTACCAATCACCGGATCAGCCCCTTGACTGGGCCTAAGGCCTCCGGCAGAGGTGTCAGGGCTGGGCAGGGGACCTCCAGCTCCCCGTGGTTGCAGGCTCCACCCCTGCCCAGGCCTAACGCCTCTGGCCAAGACATTAGGCCTGGGCAGGGTCTGCAGGCCCAGGGGTGGCGTGTCCACGGCTCTGGTCAAGGCCAGCTATGTCGCCGCAGGCTGGGTTGCTGAGCTCAGCTCGGTATTGTCACATAGGAATGACGTGACCAGTGCCCCTAAGAAATCACATCGCACCTCCTAGTCCAACTGGGACCTGAGCTCTTGTGTCACCTCCAACACGGTTTTATCCACAGACACGTGGGAGAAACGGTGTCTGTGGGCTGTGCCGGAGATGGGTGCAGGGTGTGGGGATGCGGGTGCAGGGTGTGGGCATGTGAAAGGCAGAGAACCTAACAATCCCTTGTTTGTCTCTGATGCACGGAATAGCAGCCCCTTCTTCAGAGAAAGGCCAGAGGATGTAGGGAGGGGGACGATGGCCCTGGGAGCTGAGGTTGTCCCAGGTGCCTAGGAAGTGGGCTGGGCGAGTTCAGGCTTCCTGCGAGTTGGGGAGCTGGCACCTGGGCTGCTGAGCCAGGGCACCAACCTTGTGCCAGGGTTCCAGGGCCAGGGGCAGGCACCAGAGCCGGGTCCCCAAGGGGCCACTGCAGGTGGCGGCTGGGTGGTCAGTGTGAGTGCAGGGCACGCTCTGACCCTAGGCCTCACCTCTGGGTGCAGTCAGGCGGCCCTCTCGGCGTCTGTATATCTTGGGAGCCCTGAGCAGTCAGGAGACCACGCCTGACTGAGCCTGCCTCTTTCCTTGGTGCAGGAATTTATGTTCAAGTTCACACGGAGGGAGCCCTGGATTGGCCTTCGCAGAGTCGGGGACGAGTTCCACTGGGTCAACGGGGAACCCTTTGACCCCGACACGTGAGCTGAGGCTTCGTCTTCGTCCTCTGCCCTGAGCTTAGCCCGGGCAGGGCCTCACTGCCCGCACCTCCCGAGGGGACTGCCCGGTGCTGTGTTAGGAGAGCTCCCTGAGGGTCAGCGGGTGTGACAGGCCCCTTTGTGCCTCCTACTGTCACCCTGTGACGCCCTGGTCTGTGCAGGGCCTGTCCGCAGGGCTGTGCAGGTCAGCCCCAGGGGGAGGGGTCCGTGCCTGGACGTCCCTCTGTGCTGGCCAGGGCACACCATACCTGGCCACAGGGAGGGTGGAGAGGGGCCTCTGCTCGGGGAAGTCACATGCCACCCAAACACTGACACTGAGCGTTAGAGACCCTGCTGGGATGTGGGTGGTGTATTATCTGTGAGACCCACGTGTGGGAGTGAGGGGTGAATGGCGAGGCGCCAGGCACTGGTTTGTGGGGTGATGGTGGCACTGGTCACGGGTGATGGGACGTATGATTGGGGAAACGAGGGTGGTGACAGGTGTGGGGAGGCCGTCTAGGTTAGAGAAGTGCAGGGAATGAGGGACTGAACCCCGGCTTTCAGTCCAGGCCTTATGGCTGGAGGAACAGGCTGTGAGGAGGTGGGGGGCGGGCACTGCTGCTGAGGACCACGCCTGCCCCCAGGCCCCCAGCCCTCCTTCCCACGGAGGCCGAGGAGGTGCCCCTCCGTCCCAGCAGCCACCAGGGCCAAGCAGCGGCTGGCAGTTCCTGCCCGTCCCCTCCATTGCTGCACCTGCCTCTCCTCACCACCTCGTCCTTTCCCCTCCTTCCCTTTCCCGCTCCCATCTCAGATCAGCTCCTAGCACTGCTGAGAAGTCTTACACTTTGTCCCCTTACTCCCTTCTGGAAGCTTCCTGCTCCCAGAAGCAGGGAGAGCCCTGGAGATGGGACCCCACATGCTGACCACCTGGCAGCCATGGGCCTTGGGGGCGTGTTTCCCTGACACTGAGGTGGTCCTGCCCCCACGCTCCCTCTCGGGGGGACCCCAGCTCCAGGCTTGGCAGGGGCTCAGGTCAGGTGAACAGAAGAAACCATGGGCCATGAAGGACCGATTTCCGGGGAGGAGAACCCTCCCGCACAGGCCCATGGATGACGTCCGGTTTCCTGGGCAGCAGCCCCAGCGTTAAACATTGCAGTGACTGGGGTCCACCCCTGACCTGTGAGGTCCTTTAAGTCAGCTCCTCTCTCCCCAGCTCTTCTGTGCCAGGGGGACCCTGTTCAGGAGCTGACCTGGGGGCTGGGGACAGACAGACACCGGCGTCTGTGGGGGGGCTGGAGCCGGAGCAGGGAGACTATGGGAAGCCCGTTAGGAGGGTCTTGGGGCTGGATGTCCTGGGAGGGGGTCGGGGCGGGGCAGACACCACAGGTTGAGCGCGGGTCTTCTCTCCTGGCCACAGATTCGCCATTGCGGGCCTGGGAGAGTGCGTCTTCGTGGAGCCCACCAGGCTGGTGTCGACGGAGTGTCTGATGACGCGGCCCTGGGTGTGCAGCAAGATGGCCTACACGTGAGGTGGGTCAGGCCAGGCGCACCCGCCCCAGGCTCCGCCCAGGACCCTCTCCCAGGCCCATGAGCCCTGGTCTCCTTGGCCCCAGGCAGGTCCTGTGGCTCAGCAGGTGAATCCCATGGGCTTAGGAGGGTAGGGCCCGTCCCCCCAAAACACAAGCACAGAACCCGCCGTTAGCACCTAACCAGCCCCCCCACCCGCCTTGCCCCATCCTGGAACCTTCCTTCCTCCGGCGGCCCTGGCACTGACACACTGCGTTGCTGTCGGCACACACAGCCCCCTCCCCACGCCCCCAGGTCATTTCTCTCGTGGTTCCTGGGGAGGCTGGGAGGCAGGGCTTTCCTGGCCTGGGTCCCACACACCTGCCCTCCTTGCCTTGTTTGGCCGCTGCTCCGGAGGCCCTGCTGCGTGGTGACTCCGATGGAATAAAGAGATGACCGGCATCCAGAGGAGTCGGCTGCTGTTGGCTCCAGGGCTCTGGGTGGCTGTGGGAGGGGGCACGTCAAGCCCACTTGACCTAGCTTGGCGGCTGGCAGGGGACCTGAGGGCAGAAGCAGTGTGGCCTCAGGGCACCACTTCGCTCTGCAGGCCCTGAGTTATTCTTATGTGCAGGGTGGGCTCCCTCTGGCTCCTCATTACTGTTCAGCTCAACATGAGGAGCGTTTATTCACACCCACCACGCGCCAGACACCACGCCAGGCACGGGATCAACAGCTTTATCCCTCAGGGAGCACACTGGGAGCAGAGGAAACAGAATGTTCTGGAACGTAGCCCAGGGACGGTTTCTGCTGCCTCGGGGGAGGATTAGCAACGGGGTAGAGAGATGTTTGTGTTGGGCCTGATCCGAGTTTGTGCAGGTCCTGTGGCCCCTTCCCAGGGCCCTTGGTCTGCCTGGGTGGGGGGTAGGCAGAGGGGATGAGAGGGGGTGGCAGGTCCACCAGTGCCCCCCCGTCACCCCCCCCAGAGGGTAGAGCAGCTGGCCGTGGGGCCCAGGCCGCCCCAGCCACCTCTCGGTGCCCCTGGCTGGCATCACGTGGGCAGCTGCCTGGGAGCTGCCTGTGTGAACTGGGTCCTGGCCCATTTTCAGAAAATAGCTCAGGGGAAACCAGGTCCAGCTCTGCTCCGCTCAGTCCTTCACTGCTGGGTTTCAGACAACACTGTCAGCTTGGTTTTGCCGGCCTCTGCATGCTTTCTAGTAAAACATGGGTATTCTGTGGTTCTGTACTTGTCATTATTGGGGCGCCAGAGGGGGACTGGGAGTACAGTACAAGGTTAAGGGAATTCAGGGCGGTGGTGGGCCTGTGGGGGCGGCAGGAAGCCCACCCCCTCCCAGTGCCTGCGGGGACGTGTTGAGGGGCTGCAGGCTCAGGACTGGCCAGCTGCTGCAGCGTCCCAGGTTCAATTCGGGGCGGTGGGTGGGGAGGGGCCCTCTCACACTCACCTCAGTCGTGCTCAGGTCCGGGGTCTCAGTGCCCTCCCCTCAAAGACAGCGAGGCTCAAAAGCCTGGTGCCTTGCTTTCCAGGAGGCACCTCATTTAATTCTCACCGAAGCGCCCGAGGCAGCAAGGCCACGGGGACCAAGCTATACCCGGGCGGCCCAAGGCCAGCAGGAGAGCTGAGTGGAGTGCTCTCGTCCTCGCTGGGGCTCAGGCAGGAGGAACCGGCAACAGGAGGGCTGGGAAGGAGGCCGTGGGACAGGGGCCGCGGACCCTGGCGATTCGACTCTGCCAGGCCTGCCCCAGCTCTGGAGGCACCTGGTGGCTAGGCTCTCCTGACCTTGGGTTTGTCCTGGGGCCACACGACAGTTCTAATCGGTTTAGCAAAAGGAGCCCTGACTCCTGCTCACCAGTGTTGTAAGTTTTCCTCTCTGGTCCCTACGGGGGGAGGAAACACAAGGCAGAAACATAATCAAACCCTGACGTGGCCCGTCCAGAAATAGACAACCCGCCAACGGCTGTAATCAGCCCGGCACCCCCACTACCCTCCCCGCGGAATCCACCCGGTTTGCTGGGCGGCGGAGCCTGGTGCTGTGCCCCTGGCAGCCACGGGAGGGGGGGCGGGTGGAGCACCGAGTAAGCTTAGCGCGGAGCCCTCCTTCCTCGGCCCATTTGGACCCAGAGCCCAGTCCCTTGGAGCCGCTGGGTGCCTGGGGAAGGCTGGAGCAGGCAGACGTCCCTTGGGAAGATGGGGGTTGACAGGGAGGGCTTTTTAAGGAGGACACGTTGGGGTGGTGGCGTTTGGTGCTGTGCTAACGAGTTTCTAGCGTTTGCTTAGTTAATCCACACCCTGCAAGGTCAGCACCCTCCGCCTGAGGAGACGGGCTCAGAGAGGAAAAGGACTGGCTCATACACACAGCTCAGAGGTGGTGGGGACAGGGGTAGAGCCCGGACCATCCCCACAGGGCTCCTGGGGAGGCACTTGCATGGCATGAGTGTCCCTGCCCAGCCAGCCTGCTCTGAGGAGGGAGGGGGTGTCCCTGTGAGCCCACGATGGAGAAGGGGCGCCTTGGGGAGATGTCCGCAGCCCAGAGTGAGGGTTGCTAGTAATGACTTCTGTGTCTCCTCAGGGCCCAGCGCCAGCCTCCCTGCCAGGCCTGCGGGACGCAGCAGCCCAAGTGACCACGCCCTCTCCCCAGCACCCCAGCTCTTCACACGGAGCCTTCACACGGCGCCTGTCACCTTGCCCTCCATGACGTTTCCTCATGTCACCTGACCCTCCTGCACCTGATTAGAAAGCCCGGGAGCAGGCCTTGTGTGCCCCGGCCTCTGGGATGCACAAACGCGCACTCGAAGATGACTGTCCGTGACAGTGTACACAGCATCACCGTTTCCCACGGTGGAAGCGCGCGGGCCAGCGTCAGAAGACTCTGTTTGGCCTTGGTGGGCATGGCAGGGCATGGTTTTTGGAGGCACAGCGGAGACGGACTCTTGACCTTGTTCTGCTTCAATTAGACAAGCTCATGCACACGCTGGGTGGTTGGGTGGGGGTGGCCCGGAAGCACAGGGGCCCCGAGGGAGGCTGCCTCAGTCTCCAAAATGTCCTTTGCCTCTTTCACGCAGCCGCATGAGGAGCTGGCTGTGAGGGGGACCAGCTTCGGGGAGTTTCCATCAGGGAGGGGCTGGCTGCTGGAGGCCCCTGTGACCCTCGCGATAGAGCCCTAATTAACATCACAGCCAGACCTGGTTTCTAGAAATGGCCACTGCCCGCTGAGAGCTGACAGCAGGAGCGGGGAGGGGAAGGAGGCAGCTGCCTCTCGCCCCTTCCTGCTCTGTAGCCGGCTCCAGGCACAGAGTATGAGATTGAAACGGGCATCCAGGAAGCCCCCTGCCACTCCCACCCGAGATCCCACTCTCTGCTAAGGCAGCAGGGAGTGGACACACACTGGGCCTGGCCTCCAAGCCCTGCCCTGGGCCAGTCAGGGGCCAGCTCGTCCCAACAAGCAGTTGTGGAGTTCAGCCCCCTGTGCCGAACCTCTGACCCCAGGCTTCACCTCTGTCCACTAGCATCATGCCTGCCCTGCCTACCTAATAGGGTTTTGAGAATCATGGACGTTAGGATTTCAGGGGTTAGACATGATCGACCCCATGAGGCCCAGAGAGGTTAAGTGATACGTCCAAGGTCACACAGCTAGTGGCAGAGCTGGAACAGGCCTGGTGGCGCTCCTGTTCCCCGTTTATTCGCTCATCACTGCATGTGTCATGCTTTGTGTATTTGTGTACGTGTTGGCCACCCGCGTGGAAATTAAGCTCCTAGAGGTCAGGGGTCCCCTCGCACACTTTTCTGTTTTTCTGGCGCCTGGTACATACAGAAGGTGCTCAATAAATGTGTGTTGAACTAAACTGATCTTGGCTTCTAGTTCAAGTTCTCTTTCCTCTACACCAGGGGTGGGGAACATCCTGCCCTCGGCCCTACAAGACCCAAGAAACCCTTTGGCCTGGCCCTGCCCAGGCACTGGGGGTGAGTTAATTCAGTGTTTGACCACAGACGGCAGGCTAATTTTTAAGTTGATAACTGTATGGCCTGTGAAGGATGTTGTGAATATCCAAGTGGCCCTGGGCAGAAGAAAGGCTCCCCACCCCTGCTCTACGCCATGCTGTCTCTGGCCCTGGAACCTGCATTCCCGTTCCAGGGCCACAGACTAGGAAAACTTTCAGATGTTTTTGAGGAAAAAATAAGCAAGATACGCACCCGCCTGTGACACCCATTCTGGACCAGGGTCTAGAGCACAGGACCCATGTGAGTGATACAATTCTGAGACAAAACTGGAATAACAATAAAATCAACACTAATTACTAGTAAGAACCTGTTAGGGCCAGACACTGTGCTATGCAGTTCACACATGAAGTGCTCGCTCACGTAGCGCAGTGCCTGGTCCACAGTAAGTGCTTAATAAAAAACCATATTCTCGGAGGCTGTGACACAGTGTGCTGCAGACGCTGACAGGGCTCCGAGACCTGCCTGCCACCTTGCCTGAGGTCAGGATGCCTTCCTCCAAACCAACCAATCACGGTTACGGGGAGGGAGAACCGGGGAAGCATGCATTGCTTCCCAAATGCTTCCACCTGGAAGTGACTCGGACTCCTGAAACCTTTCCTTGATTAAGGGTAAAGCTTGAGCCCTGACCGGTTTGGCTCAGTGGCTAGAGCGTCGGTCTTTGGACTGAAGGGTCCCAGGTTCGATTCTGGTCAAGGGCATGTACCTTGGTTGCGGGCACATCCCCAGTGGGGAGTGTGCGGGAGGCAGCTGAATCGATGTTTCTCTCTCATCGATGTTCCTAACTCTCTGTCCCTCTCCTCTCCTTTCCTCTCTGTAAAAAAATCAATAAAATTTTTTTTTTAAAAAAGCTTGAACACCTAACTTCAGAAAGACCAAGAAATGCAATCCTTCCATGTGCCCGAAGGAAAAGATAGTGAAAAGTCTTGGTCCATGGCAGGCCTCCCTGTGACATCGCCACCCACATTCTGTGGGCCCCTCTCCATTCAAAGCCCTGGATGGAGCCAAGCTGCTCCCATCGCTGACCTGCACTAGTCAGGGCTACAGGCTGTAGCTAGAAGACCTTTATTTTGTTAAACCTCTGCAATTGGGGCATTGTTGTAGAACAAGCATGTCAAACTCAAAGGCTAACACGGGCCAAATAAACAAGGTTTAAGTTTATGTGGGCCGCAAAAAAAACAAAGGCTTCGATTTTCATAGAAACGTAGGTATATTTCGATAGAGACATGCTGAATACAAAGGGCTGAAATAAATGAGTAATTGTTAACATAAAATAATAGAACATTTTAATAAAAATTAATATTTTTTCTTGAACATTAACTTACCAGACACTGAATAACTGCACAAATTAATAAGCATAATGCAAATAAACCTATTTTTCTTGTTCTCTGAAAGCAAAATATTTCCTGTTGCGCACACCAAACAAGTCAGCCCAAGACTAATGATGTGGCAAATGACATGGCAATTTGCTGCTAAGATATCCACTGTTAGTATTAGTGGAGAGAAATGGTAAGGGAAATGAATGCAACACGATTATAGTAATCAGTCATTAGAAAATGTAGTTCGTTATTAATAATAGATACAGAGGCAGAGCTGCCTCAAACAGATTGTCAAACTGCAGCGGGAAGGCCGGGGAGGGTTGGGGAGTAGCGGGGTAAGAGATCAACCAAAGGACTTGTATGCAGGCATATAAGCATAACCAATGGACATAAGACACTGGGGGATAGGGGAGGCTAGGGGACTGTGTAGGGCGGGGGGAAAAAATGGACACATATGTAATACCCTTTGTAATACTTTAAGCAATAAAAAAATAAAAAAATAAATAAAAGAAAAAAAAGAAAATGTAGTTCGTTATTCATAATTATGTATAACAGGATATTGTAAAAATTAAGTTATGTAATTTTTATTAAAACGTTTTACATACCGTTATATTGGCTGGGCCACAAAAATATTCATTGTGGGCTGCATGTGGCCCATGGGCCACGAGTTTGACATGCTTGTTCTAGAAACTAGCATACTCTGCTACCCTACTCAACCTACATGAGAGCTAAAGTTAAAGAAGATAATAAGATAGGCTAATCACAATAATAAACAATCCTAACATTTCAGTGGCTTAAATATAATTGAAAGCTGTATCTCTTGCTCTTTGTGGTTTTATCCAGCGTGGCTTTGCTAGGGGACAGCCACCTGGGCTTCTGCCATGTGGTGGCCCCACCGCTCTCAGGGCTCTCAGAGTCCTTCGGTCCTCAAACTATGGCCCGCGGGCCACATGCAAATAGAAATATTGTATTTGTTCCCGTTTTGTTTTTTTACTTCAAAATAAGATATGTGCAGTGTGCATAGGAATTTGTTCATAGTTTTTTTTAAACTATAGTCCGGCCCTCCAACCGTCTGAGGGACAGTGAACTGGCCCCCTGTTTAAAAAGTTTGAGGACCCCTGCTTCAGACCTTCCACACTGGCTAGAAACGGAGGGACACGCGTGTGGATAAGTGACTGAGAGCTTTTTTAGGGGTCAGTTCTGGCCATAATTATCTGCAAAGAAATCCAGGAAATACAAACCTCTGTGTCTAGAGGAAAGGACTGGGGAAGGTCCAGATAGTCTTCCCACATTTCACAGATAAGAAAGCTGAGGCGTGAGAGGTTAAGTGATTTCCCAGCTCAGTTCCTGGGACTGAACCGGAATATCCTGCCTTCACAGCCCACTGGCATTCCCTGGCCATCGAGCCGCCTTCCCTCCTCGGCTTCACTCGCTCAGCACAGCGTCTCCCGCTCAGAAGGCCTCCTCCAAGCATCCCCCTTTCCCTCTGGTCTGGTCCTTGATCTTCCGATTGGAAAATTGTTCTCTTCCAAGCTGCCCACCCACAGGCTTAGTCTGCAATGGACGAAGATTCTCAGAGAGCCAGTGCAATGAAATGTAGGAAGACACTGACACAGGCCGTAAAAGACATGAAAGCAGAGGTCCAGTGGTTTCTCTCCAAGCTGGCTGTGGCCCAGAGTCGTTTAGAAGTGCTGCTGATGGCGGGGTCTCAGTGGGAGGGACTAGATCCCTCCTACAGATCAGCATCTAACAATGGAATTAGATCCTCTCACGTTCTAAGGTCTGTCTCTTCCCTACAGAGTGAGGATTAGGGGTGTTGCTGGACCCTGCCATGTCCCGCCCTCACGCAGAGCCAGCCAGTGCAAGGGAAGCTGAGGTGGAAGTCAGTCTCTTCAGAGGACACTGACAGGGCCTGGGGAGCGTGGTGATGCAGGACCTCGTCCCTCAAAGGCAGAAGCCCCTGGTCAGAGTCCCAAGCTGGCTGCCGGGCAGGGAGAGAACCATCCAATTGCTGGGCGGGGGGCGGGGGCCCTCCTCGGGGCTCCTGGCTCAGCCGGGAAATAGGCCTTGTTATGGACCTAGGAGTCTGCTTCCTGCTCTTCACTGGGAGAGTAACTTGGACAACCTAAGCCTTGCCACCCAGGACCGCTATGCCCAAGGGAGCACATTGGAGGCAGTGAGTTTCTCACTTTAGATTAAAAAAATTTTTTTGTTTTAAAATTGATTTCAGAGAGTTTCAGAGAGGAAGGGAGAGAGGGAGAGTGACAGAAACATCAGTGATGAGAGAGAATCATTGATTGGCTGCCTCCTGCACGGCCCCTATTGGAGTTGGAGCCAGCAACCCAGCATGTGTCCTGATCGGGGAATCCAACCGTGACCTCCTGGTTCATAGGTTGACGCTCAACCACTGAGCCACGCCAGCTGGGCTCACTTTAGATTTAAATCGGTTTCCAAAGTCCTGCTGGCGAGACCCTTCCGCACAGCTGCCCTGCATTCCCCGGCGTCCTCTCATCTCTCCACGCCCGTGGCTGTGTTCCCCGGACACATTCAGAGTGTAAAAAGCAGTTTGATAGAAGAGTTTTGTCCAAGTCTTTTGCCTGGATTTTTATGGAACTTGGATTGGCTCAACCGGATTTAACCCACGTTCGAATACTGTGTTTTGGGTTCCATTGGTCTCACCTGAATTCTAGGAGACACAGAATGTGGAGTGGAAAAGAGGGTTGATTGGGGCATGAAAATTGGCTGAGTGGTTTGTCCACTTACCCAAATGTTTACTGACCACCCGCTCTGCCTGGCGTTGTAACAGACGCCCTAGAAAGAGGTGAAAGAGAGATCCTTCCCGGGAGGGTTTTGTAGTTTTGGGGGAAGGAAATCAGCAAAGAAGCCTGACAATGTGGTAAAATGGCAATTATACGTGAGGGGGAGGCTGGGAATGTAGACAAAAAGCACCTACCTCATCAGGAGCCTGAGGGCAACCTTCCCGGAGATGAGCAGCTGGTTCTCGAAGGGCATGGGGTCCAAAGCAGGGCGAGGAGGCTAGACAAGAGCGCACTCGGGTGCGGAGGGGCGAGGTGGGCGCAGGGCCTTCCTCCTGAGGCTGAGGGAGAGACCTGCACAGCCTGTGGGAGGGCGGGGCTGAGGGAGCTGGTGGCCACCTGGATCCCTCTGATTCCTCCACGGAGAGTGCCGGGTGGGGGCTTGGAGGGAGTGGGCGGTTCCGTTAGCCAGGAGGGAGCTGGGAGCACCTGGCAGGCTGACCAGGTGCGCAGGGTGGGAGGCCTTCCCAGAAGCTCTGGGAGCCTGGGTGTAGGAGCAGAGAGGTAGATGGCTGACTCTGTCCACAGCAAGTGGGTACGGCAGGGGGCTGAGGGTACAGCAGGGAGCTGCGGGTCCAGGTGAGAAGGTGGGTGGGCCTCATGTGAGCCCAGGAGGCACAGAGGATGGGGGCCAGGAGCCTGGCAGTCCTGAGGGCCCCGGACACTGGCAATAGAGGCCATGATGGCTGTCAGTGAGGAGCCCTCGTGCGTTCCA